TGGTGGTAGAGGAGGAAAAGAAGAGAGAGAAACAGAAGAAAAAGGAGGAGATGATTGAGAAGAATCAAAAGCACCGCCTATGTATGTGCCAGGGCAGAACTAACCATTTCTCCACATACTGATTTTTCTAACCTTCAGAACCACCATGTGAGGAAAGAACTGTTGTTACTAGTCCCCATGACACATGAGCAAACTGAGACAGAACAGCTAGGCATGTTTTCCAAGGTTACGCAGCCAAGTTGACACATACCTCCAGCCACTGCTTGCTGTCTCCATGTAAGCAGGAGCTGCTGAAGTGAGGCCTTCCTGCATCTCCTGTGTCTTCAGGATCCAGGCCCCTTGACACGCACCCCGAGGGGTGTTGTCATAGGATTCGTTCAACCCAGAAGCCCCTCCCCTCACCTGGCCCGCACAGTTGTAATAAACACTACCACTTATGGAACCTTTTACTATGTGGCACCATAGGCAACATTGTTGTTGTTGTTAAGTGCCATTGAGTTGGTTCCAACCCATAGCGACCCTGTATAGGTTTTCCAAGGAGTGGCTCATGAGCTTGAACTGCCAACCTTGTAGTTCAAACTGACTTTACAATCCAGCACGTTAACCCACAGCGCCACACCAGGACTCCAAACAAACTGAATAGCAACATTATTACCCCATTATACAGATACAGAAATGATGACTTGCCCAAGGCTACCAAGCTGCCGCACAGAGAGAACCACACCCAGCTCTGCCCAGTTCCAGAGCCTGACCTTCTAACCACTCTGTGGTTCTGTTTGCGGGGAGGAGCAAAGCAAGGGCTTCTGGCACTGGGGGATGATGTTCCTCAGTGCAGCCTGAGAGTCACACCAGCACACTGACATAGAACAGGATTCCCACCCAAGGCTGGAAGGACCAGAAGAGGGATATGGGACCAGCCCCTGCCTGTCAGCACATCATGTACTCTACTCCTAGCAGACGCTCTCGTTTCGCTAGTTGTTCAAGGCCATCCAAAGGGATGTTTGCCTCCCAACAAGACCATAGCTTCCTCATGCTCAGTTAGCGCATCATAAAACAAGGTTACAGATACATGTCCTGCAATGCCACAAGGGTGCTGTGAGGATCAAGTGAGAGAATTTACATGAGGGTATCTAACAACTGCCCAGAGCAACACTCTAAAGAAGTGCTCCTGTATAAATCCACAGGACAAAATAAATATCAGTGACACAGACAGACTTCTCTTCTTAACATTACATCTGTCCTGCTTGGTCCATAAAAAAATCACTGAGGAGTGAAATCTACTGGGCTTATAGCTCTGAAGGACTGTGCTACCTTATCTAACAGGATATGGAAAGAGAGGAGAAGGAAATGGAGACAGACAGGCAGACAGACAGTTGAGGAATGACAAAAAGCTTCATCTAGGAACCAAGGTGAGGTAGGGAATACACAGTGGACTGGGAGGACTGGGCAATCCAGTCCATGTGGACCAAAGAACAGACCCCAAAGGAGAGAAAGAGAGAAAGTGCAGGCTGAGCAGATTCCCAACCTTGGCAACTGTGGTCAGGTAGTGGGAGGGTCAGGTGATTGGATTTAGAACAGGCTGGACCAGCGGTGGCATGGAGGGAGTGGCCAGGGTAGAGTCTCAACCTGGGATCCAGGAAAGAAGCTGCTGACCCAGGTAACAATGTCACTGGCTAAGCCCACAGATGCTGGAGAAAGTCAAGTCTCACAAGCCACCTGTGATATAGTTAAGGTATTGTATCAATTTGCCTGGGCCTGGATTCTTAGTGGTTTAGCAGTTACAACATAGTAATCTCCCATGATGAGATCTAATGTGATGTTATCACTTTCATGATCTGATCAGCCCTGATCTGATGTAGTTATCCTCTGTGTTGTAATTTCTCACTTATAGGATGTTAATGCGGCAGATGCAATCTGCGGGATTCGGTAATATCCTAAATCAATCTCCTTTGAGAGATACAAGGAGAGAGAAGGAAGCAGAGAAAGAGGGACCGACTACCACCAAGAAAGCAAAGCCTGGAGTGGAGCGCCTCCTTTGGACCTGGGATTCCTGTACTGTGGAGCTCCTAGATCTGGGGAAGACTGATGCCAAGACACATGGAGATCTCCAAGGAATGCTGGGCCTACAGAGGCTGAAAGAAAACAAGGACATTTCCCCAGAGCTCACAAACCGAGAGCCTTCCCCCACAGCCGACACTCTGAACTTGGACTTCGAGCCTCCTCCGAACTGTGAGAAAAGAAGTTCCGGTTGTGCTAATTCTGTGAAAGCAGCAGCAGAGAAGTAAGACATCACCCTTCAGATTTCCATTCCAGAGAGAGCTTGCTGGATAGCAAGCTGGTCACATACCTATTGAGACTGCTTGGAGACCATAGCATCAGGCTTCCTTCCATAGCATGGGCTCCTAGCTACACTGTTGCTCTGCTCTTGTTACTGCCCAGCCCAGTCCAGCTAACCAGCTGGCTGCCCTGCCGGCATGCTCTCCAGGGCCCCGAGCCCATGCACATGCAGAGTCCCCCCAACAGCAGGCTTCAGGGAGGGAACACACCGAGCTGGTCCAGATTGCCTCACACCGGGTGGACCACATTCCTGTCACAGTGAGGCTTGCAGTGTGGATTCAGCCAGTGCTCCAGGAACTGCTCCTCAGCGAGATGCTCCAGGTACAGCAAGTGGTGCATGTACTCCTGTCAAAACAAGCCTGCAGGGACAGAGCTGCAGTGCTTCTGCCCAGAATACCACCCGCACCTTCTCAGGGCTCAGGTGTCCCTTCCTCCAGGAGGCCTTCTCAGATCCCCTCTCCCCCCACCTCTCTGGGTCCCCAGAGCACTCTGGGCTCACCCCCACCTTAGTCCCATCATTGCCTCACTTCGTCATTTTTTAGTGGCAGTGTTAGATGGGTCAAGTTACATTTGGGTATGTAAATCCTTTCATGGGGATGGAAATTATTTTTAATTTGGACAATGCATGTTGCTGATAGGAGTACTGGATGGGTAAGCACTGACTACCAGCTGAAAGGTTGGCTGACTGACCTCACCTAGAGGAGCTTGGGGAGACAGGCCTGCTGCGGTAATTCCAAGAACTCACAGCCTTGCCAACCCTGGGGAGTTCTCTGCACACGTGGGGTAACTCAGAGTCAGAATCCACCCAAGAGTCTCTTACAACATGCCATGGACACAGGCCGGAGAGGAACCTGGTAGTTTAAGTATGTAATGGACTCCTGTGGGAACATGGGGGCGAATCAGTGTGAACATGTTTAAGTATGTAATGGACACCCATGGGAACATAGGGGTGAATCAGTGTGAATATGTTTAAGTATGTAATGGACACCCGTGGGAACATGGGGGCGAATCAGTGTGAACATGTTTAAGTATATAATGGACACCCGTGGGAACATGGGGGCGAATCAGTGTGAACATATTTTCTTTAAAAAACACCAAATCAGTTGCCATGGAGTAAATTCGGACTCATTGCAACCCACGTGTGTCAGACTAGAAGCGTACGGTTGTCAGGGGCTGTGATCTTTTGGAATTAGACCGGCAGTCACCTCTGGGTAGACTAGAACCACCAACCTTTCGGTTGGCAGCCAAGTACTTAAAGTGTTTGTCCATATAAACTCCACACAAACACAGTTAGGTAGTAAACAAGCAAACAAAACCCAGTAGTTCATTCATCAAGGAAGTGTGTCATTTCACCAAAGGGAAGCAGACATAATCGGGTAGTATCTGGGACGAGATGAAATCATTTTGGTATGCATCAACACTGCAGAAATCCCAAATCAAGGAAACTCACCTATGGCATCTATGAGGTTTCAACAGAGTTCAGTTTCAAACATGGCAATTAAAACAAAAAAAAAGACTGTGGGAAGGAATGTATTAATTACGAAGTATTCCATTTTCCTGGTATTATTTTGTTTGGTCTCCCCTAGGACCCATGCAGTTTTTATTTGTTTTGGTTATTGATGTTGTTTTCATTTGACTCATCGAAATGCACCCCATGTCCTAGTCTCCAGGCTCCAGTGGGCAGGGAGCCCCCGGGTCAGCCAGGGGATGAGAGGGTGGCTTCTAGGACCTAACAGTGATTCCCTGGCTCCTTGATGGATGTGTTTGTGAGTCTGGGGATGAATTTCTACCCTGTCCATGAAATTTTTGGCCAAAAGAATATTAATTGGGAACAACAGGAAGGCAGCATGGAATCTTATAAATATAGAACAAAGAGTTCCTTACTGTTGTATTACTTTTTCAACTATTCATGTAAGCAATACACTGAAGAAAACCCTTGACCCCTTCATCTTGCATACTTGCTTGCCAGGCACATCGTGCAGGAACTAAAGAGATCTGGGTCTGATTCAAATAATCTGGACCCTACAATATCGCTTTACCTCACCGATCTCAATATGTCATCTGCAAACTAGGGATTGTGCTAGGACTTATTTCATCGGGTTACCAGGATTCAATAAGATGATACAAATAAGGTTCTGTGCCAAATAGTTCCTCCAGATTTGTTCTCTCCTCTCCTTCATCCAGCCCTGTGCCTCACCTACAGGAGCTCCTTTGTCGTGTGTCCTCTAGTGGCGGTCAGTGGTGGACATACAGGGAGAATTGGAAAGTAGACTAAAGAAAGACCTGCATGTTTAACCCACCCACGGCTCCTGCCCCAAGAAGTCAAACAAGTTAGCACTGTTCTTATCTCTTCATGCTTATTGTTATCCATGTACAACAAAAGGAAACACTGCCTGGCTCTGCACCATTTCCATGATGGGCTGCAGATGGGACTATTATGAACCAATGGTTTTCATTGGCTGATTTTTCCAAGTAGAGCTCCAGGCCTTTCTTCCTAGACTATCTTAACCTGAAAGCTCCATTGAAACCTGTAACACACAAGCCTCCACTGATAGATGGGTATGCTTGGGGTACATTGGCCAGGAATTGAGTTGGGTCTTCCTCACGGAAGGTGAGAATTCTGTCACTGAGGCCCCACTACCCCTTCCTTTTGTGCCTAGGAGTTGCTAGCTCCAGGATGCTTTGCATTTTTTGCTGGTTTCCCTTAACCCTACCCACACCTCTATAGAAAAGACTCTTTCCTAAACTCCTTAGTGTGCTCAGCACACCATTCCTGGCATGTTAGACTCTAACAAATAGTAGTTATTATTTTTTGTCATTATTACTATTAGAGGAGAAAGATCTGAGCAAGCCTTGAGGTCATGGAATTGAATGTCAGGAAAATATTGAAAGTACACAGGAAACTTTCAATAAATGCTTATTGAATGAAAGACCAGAGCAGCGATCATCAGAGCGTGGTCTGCAGGCCTCATCAGTGATCTTTGAGATCAAAACCATCTTCAGAATACTAAGACCAAAAGATGGGCCTTCCCACCACATTGGTGGGTAAAACTGCTGGGGCGGGAGCAGTGGTTCCCAGCTGGATGGCAGTCATGGTACCCTTCGCTACCACACACTCAGTTTATAAAAAGAAAGAAAGAAAACATGCCAGTTGATAGTGGTGATGGTTGCACAACATGATGAATGCAACTAATGTCACCGAATTGTATGTGCAAGAAACACTGACATGGCAGGCTTCTTGTAATGTACATACATGTTGCTAGGTGTTGTCAAGTGGATTTGACTCATCAAAACCCATGTGACAGAGTAGAACTGGCCCGCAGGGGTTTCCTAGGCTACAATCTTCATAGGAGTAGATTTCCGGGCCTTCCTTGTAAGGGTGGGTTCAAACTGCCAGTCTTTTAGTTGGCAACCTAGCACTTAACCAGAATGCCACCAGAACTCCTATGTAGAGATAGATAGAGAGAGAGAGAGAGACTCTTGGTATGGCTCTATAGGAGCAGCACTGAACTGTGAATCACAAGGTTGGCAGTTCAAGCCCACTAGCTGCTCCTTGGAAACCCTATAACAGGGTCGCTATGAGTCAGAACCGACTCTGCGGCACTTAACAACAATATATATATATATATACTTAAGCCAATCATATAATTTTGTTTACAATTTTAAACACAAGTCTCACTGAAGTTTGCGCCTGGTGAAGCAATAAATCTGACACCTGGGGGAGTTTGTGGGCAGTACGTCTGCTGAGTATCAAGGATGTATAGTGGTTTCCTAGAGGAAATGCACTTGGATGATGATGTGCCTTGAGAACTGAACAGGCTGCTTTTTATACGGGCATTTGACAGCCATCTTCTCGAAAACGAGTAAAATGATCCTGTCACTTCAAGGGGACCAACTGGCAGGGTTTGCTGTGAAGTGAGACAATTTGTGCTTTCTAGGAGAATTCAGAATTTTTGAAAATTTGTAGATGCTACTGTAAGCCTGACAGTTTCCCAATTCTTAAAGACTTTTCTGACCAAACTGGAGACGATATTTTAAAAATGTCATCGCTGATATGTAGCGCTTATATTCCGTTTATTCCTACTCGGCTATTTGCATTCTGACTTGTTTAGTGCCTACCCCTTTCAGTCAAATGTCCAACTGGTTTCTTGAGGGCAGTGATCAAGGTATATGACTCAACACACAGTTCGCCAAACACCAAACCCATTGCCACTGAGTTGATTCGGACTCACAGCAACCCTATAGGGCAGATTTGTTGTGGTTGTTGTTTACGTGCCATTCAGTGGCTTCGACTCATAGTGCCCCTGTATAGGGTTTCCAAGGAGCAACTGGTGGGTTTGAACTACTGACCCTGCAGTTCAAACCAACCTTGTGATCCAGTGCTTATCCTACAGTGCCATATGAGAACTGCCCTATAGGGTTTCCATAAATCTCTTCAAAAGCAGACTGTCAATCTTTCTCCTTCAGAGCAACTGGTGATTTCCAACCACCAACCTTTAATTTAGCAGCAGAACACCTAACCACTGTTCCACCAGGATTCTTTGGCACATAGTTGTTGTTGTTATTGTTAGGTGCCATCGAGTCGGTACCGACCCATAGTGACCTTATGCACAACAGAACGGAATACTGCCCAGCCCTGGGCCAACTTCACTATTGTTGCCACGCTTGAGTCCATCGATGCTGCCAGTTGGCCAATCCATCTCATTGGGGGTCTTCCTCTATTTCTCTGACCCTCCACCTTACCAAACATGATATCCTTCTCCAGCGACTGGTCCCTCCTGACAATATGTCCGAAGTATGAGAGACAAAGTTTGGCCATCCTGGCCTCTAAGGAGCACCCTGGCTGTACTTCTCCCAAAACGGATCTACTGGTTCTTTTGGCAGCCCACAGCACTTTCAGTATTCTCCTCCAACACCATAACTCAAAAGCATCTCAAAATTCACTGGAAAAATGTAAAATTGAGTAAGTGAATAAACAAAATGTGTCCTTTCTCTGCGCTCTCACTAAATCCTCTTTGAAAGGTTCATGGTCTCCATGTCCACTGCTCAATATAGTGGCCCAGGGAAACTATGCATACATAGAAAGCATCAAAGATCAAAGCATCAGTATCTATTTCATATTCTTAAGCAGCAGCTGAAATCATTGTTGAAGAAAAACAACCAAAACAGGCACATACACACAGAAAGAGAGAGAAAAAAAACCAGTACTGGTTTCCATGACATTTCAGTATTTATTTTAAAATGTTAGGAAAATGAATATGCCACAAAGGCCTAAAAGTGATCATTAGTCAAAGATGAAAAGCCAAACTGCAAATCTGCTGAAAACCACAAATTCAACAATTGTG